GGGGCCTAGTCCCCCGCTACCCCGTCCCCGGCTCCCCCAGGGGAGGGGGGGATGAGGAGGGGGAAGAGGGGGATGAAGTTGCTAGTAATTTCGGGGACATCAAACATCGGGTGAGTGGTGGTTGTGGGTGAGTGGTGATTGTGGGTGACTGGTGATTGCGGGTGAGGAGCAAGTCACCCGTACACGGGGAGTGAGTCACCCGTACATGGGATGAGTGAGTCACCCGTACACGGTCTGATTGTGTCACCCGTGACAGGAGGTAGCGCTGCGGCTGGGTGTGGGGTCGAGGCTGAAGACCCCGCGGTTCCCCGTGTGGGTGACGCTCTGCAACCTCACGTACGGGCTCCTGCTGAACCCCAACCGTGACCTCACCCGTGACTACCACGCCGAGAACAGGCGGGTCTGGGGGACTGGGACCAGGGACTTGAGGTCTGGGGGACTGGGACCAGGGACTTGAGGTCTGGGGGACTGGGACCAGGGACTAGAGGTCTGGGGGACTGGGACCAGGAACTAGAGGTCTGGGGGACTGGGACCAGGGACTAGAGGTCTGGGGGACTGGGACCAGGGACTTGAGGTGTGAGACTGGGACTAGGGACTTGAGGTCTGGGGGACTGGGACCAGGGACTTGAGGTCTGGGGGATGGGACCAGGGACTTGAGGTCTGGGGGACTGGGACCAGGGACTAGATTGGGACTAGCGGATTGGGCTAATCGTGTATGGGTCTAAATATTTGATGGACTTGAGATAAAAAAAATCGTTAAAATCGTAGTAAGCAGAGCGCGGCCAATGACCTACATGACATTTCTTCCTTTAAATCACTATTTGTGAATAAAATATATTCATAAATAATCAATGATAAAAAACCTACAAAAATTACTTTTTATCCTTTTTATCTTTCTTCTTTATCCTTTTTTATCCCAACATTTATAGACTCGACTATGATAAAGACTTAAAAAATGTAAAGAACGAAGTCTTAAGTAGAGATAAAGACTTAAAAAAATATAAAGATATTTTAAAGACTCAACTAGGATAAATTTATTAAATGAAGTGAATGAAAAGACTAAACTAGGATAAATTAATTAAATGAATGAAATTGAAATTGAACGGATCAAACCCCCGCAGGTTCGAGCTGCTGTACCTCACCACCAACCCCGGCGGGGGCAACCCCTACGGGTACCACGCGTACCCCAGCCCCAGGGGGTTGTCGGGGCGCCAACCCCATGGAGCAACCCCGGGGGGTGAGGCTAGGAGGCTAATACATGTTTGGATATATGAGTTGAGTTATAGATATGGCCTCACAGTGAGGCACTAACATCCTGGCCTCACAGTGAGGCACTAACCAACACCTGGCCTCACAGTGAGGCACAAACATCCTGGCCTCACAGTGAGGAACTAACCAACATTCTGGCCTCACAGTGAGGCACTAACCAACATTCTGGCCTCACAGTGAGGCACTAACCAACACCTGGCCTCACAGTGAGGCACAAACATCCTGGCCTCACAGTGAGGCACTAACCAACATTCTGGCCTCACAGTGAGGCACTAACCAACATTCTGGCCTCACAGTGAGGCACTAACCAACATCTGGCCTCACAGTGAGGCACTAACCAACACCTGGCCTCACAGCGAGGCACTAACCAACATCTGGCCTCATAGTGAGGCACTAACCAACACCTGGCCTCACAGCGAGGCACCAACCAACATCTGGCCTCACAGTGAGGCACTAACCAACATCTGGCCTCACAGTGAGGCACTACCAACATCTGGCCTCACAGTGAGGCACTAACCAACACCCTGGCCTCACAGTGAGGAACTAACCAACATCTGGCCTCACAGTGAGGCACTAACCAACATCCTGGCCTAACAGGGAGGCACTAAACAACATCTGGCCTCACAGTGAGGCACTAACAACATCCTGGCCTCACAGTGAGGCACTAACCAACATCTGGCCTCACAGTGAGGCACTAACCAACATCCTGGCCTCACAGTGAGGCACTAACCAACA